CTGGCGGTGGGGGGAGATCGGTGGGAGCACCCCGGAGCGCAGCCCGCAAATAGCCTTGGTTGGGGAGTCCCAGGCCACGCTGCACCCCCTCGCCCAACCCCCTCCCCAGCCCCGACCCGAGGGGTTCAGCGCCCTCCGATCTCCTCCGGAGCAGTCACCTCCACATCACCTTCACCCTGCTCCCGTGGGACCAGCACCGCGCCGGATCAGGCCCTGAGACCGCACTAAGGGCCAGTGCTGCCCGCAATCCCCCCATCACGATCACCACAGCCCCCCATCGCCCTGCCAAGGCTGGTGCCAGCGGTCCTGGGGCTCAGAGCCCTCTGCAATTAGGGACCCAGGGGTCCTGCGCCCCCCAAACTCCGCAGGGGCTGCCCCGGGGCTTCGTCCCCGCAGCGCAGGGGGGACGTGACCCGGTGCCGCTTTCAGCCCGGCCATTCTTAACCTCTGCCCTTTCGAGGTTGTAACACGACCTGTCACCGGCCGCGGGCCTCTCTGGCCACTGGGTGCCCCATCCCTGCACCCCGTCCAGCCGGTTTGGGGTGACGCACCGTGGCCAAGCACGTCGGGTGCTGCGGGGTTGGGTGTGGGCAGGTGGGGTGGCCAAACCCCCCCAAGGTCCTGGGGGTGCAATGGGGTGCTGCAACCCCCTCCTTAGACCATGGGCACGTCCCTAAAACCAGCCCGTGGGGAGCTGGGGGTCCTGCCTCCATCACTCGGTGTCCTGGTGGCACTGGGCATCCCAAAGGGGTTTCCTGCTGTTGGGCAGCACCCTGGGCACAGGGATGTGGGCAGGGCAGGGGAGGAAGCCGGACACGTCACGGCGCGTCACCCGGCACGGGGAAGCCCTCACCGCAGCCGGATGCAGAGGGTGACTGCTGGAAGCCAGGTGAGTGATGGCTATGGAAGCAGAAATCCTGAGCTCCCTATTTCAGGGTCAAGCTGGGGGTTGTGTCTTCTGTCCCACCCTGCCTAGCTGGGCCATGGAGCTGGGCACCATCATGGCCAAAAAGGGAGACCCTTTTTCTCCACAAACACTTGGTGACCTGTGTGTCCCTGATGTACTTGAGTTGTTTATCCTGCTCTTCCTTTGCAGCCTTAAGTGCTTCTGTGCCTGGAACACGGCAGAATGTCAACAGGTAAGTGATCCATTTCCCTGCATCCATCCCTTCAGTTCCTCCTGCATCCATCCCCCCTGCATCCAACCCCCCAGTATGCCCTGCATCCATCCCCCCTGTATCCATCTCCTCAGCATCCCCTGCATCCATCCCCCCGTATCATCCCCTCAGTATCTCCTGCATCTATCCCCTCAATCCCCCCTGCATCCATCCCCTCTGCATTCCCCTGTGCCCTTTGTATCCATTCCCTTGATCCCGCCTGCATCCATTACCCCTGCATCCATCCCCTTGGTTCCCCCTCCATCCGTCCGCTCTGCATTCCCCTTTCCCCCATGCCTCATCCCCATTATCCCTTCCCCCTGCATCTGCCCCGCTTACAGGCAGTCCCTGATCCCCTTTGCATCCATCCCTTCCATCCCTGCCCTGTGTCCTTGCCTCCCTCCCTTCTGTCCATCCCCCATGTTCCTCCAGCCCCTCCACGTGCCCCACGTCCCATTGGTCCCCGCCAGCCACTTGGCTCTGTCCCCAGCC